CCCCTCCCGTCCCCCGTCTCCCGTGCCGCCTAGGCTGAAGGGCGGGCTCGGCTCCCGGAGGAGGGGACAGAGAGGGAGGCCGAGGGGCGAGGGGCGAGGGGCGGGCAGGGCTGGGAGAGGACGCGGAGGGGCTGGCCAGGCTGTGCTCACTCCAGAGCTGCTCCTGAGCTGCAGGCAGGAGACCCAGGACCCAGCTCTGCGACTGGCCTCGCAGGATCCCCGGCGCCAACCCCCAACCCGTGTCCACCAGGAATCTTAGAGTCCCCGCACCGAGCAGACGCGTGCCGCAGCCAAGCAGGATCCCCGGACCCAAGAGGACACGCGGAGCCCCCCGCGAGCTCTGGGAGTCGCAGCTCCACCGCAGACCTCCAGGGGCTCAGACCGCGGAGCTTTAGGCCTGTGGGAAGGTAAACTCTGGGGTGGGGTCACGGGATGACGTGCAGAGAGCTTAAGGTTCACAAAGTAGAGGAGCCCTCCCTCGGGGCCTCTGCACCCCCTGGGGCGCCTCCTGGGGAGTACTGAGGTTGCTCTCCAGGCCAGGAGCTTCAGGAACTGGCCCAGGAATCCCTCATTATGCCCCACTACCCTTCCATCCCATTTTTAGAGACCTCCCTTTTGCTCTGGCTAGGGGGTCCTGATCTGGTGGTGAGAGCCCCTCTCAGAGGCAGGCCTCCTGTTGTCCTGCAGGGGATTGCCATCCCTCTGACTCCAGTGGCATCTCTCCAATCCCCTTGGAGCTGGGAGGAGCCAGGAGGCCCATGCACACCTGCTTGCAGCTCCTCACAGCATCCCTGGCCCCCAGCCTGGACCACATTAAAGTCTTGGAAGTGGAGGTTTGGGTCCTGCTTCTCAGCTTTAGCCCGGAGGTGTAACCAGAGTCTCCTGCCTGTCCTGCCCTTGCCCTCTCTGTTTTTGGGTGCTTGGCCCTGCCTGCTCCCCACTTCCACCCACTGTCTTGGCCGTCTGGCACCCTCTCTCCTCCCATCCCTGGGGAGCTGGCATGGGCCCAGCATGGCTGATGTGGTAATGTCCCTGGAAGTGCCCACGGAGGAGAGCTGTCAGGCCTGTTCCCAATCAGTTAGCTCAGGCCCTCCAGCACCAGGAGCACTTGACTCAGGCTTCTGAAGGGGAGAAGGCGCTTCTGCCCTGAGGGTCTCTGGGAAGGAGCAGGGGGCTGCTCACAGCCCGGGAAGCTGCCAGAGTGCTGGGCACTGAGGGGTTGAGTGCTGCTCAGAGGAGCAAGGCTCCTTTCTGAGCAACAGACTTTTTCCCTTAAAGGAAGACTATCATGGGTTCCTGTGTTCCCATCCAGTAACCCAGGGTGCAGGACTGCTTTGGAGCCTGTTGATCCAGTCAGTGTGCAAGGAGTTGGCTGGGCATGACCATGGAGTTACCCGGATGTGGGAGCAATAGGCCAGGATGGCTGAGCATGGGAAAGGCAGGCTCCTCCTCTGGGACAGCAGAGCTCCCAGCCCCTCAGCCCCTCCTGGCCCCTGGGCCTAGACCCTGGACCCCATGCCCTGCTGCCCCTCCAGGTGGATGGGGAATGGCAGCACCTGGGGCAGTAGGTTTGCTGTGCTCCCTCTCTCAGCTCACACACTTCTGCAGAGGCATCTCCCAAGCTCATAGCCAGGCAGATGCAGCAAGGCACAGGAGTTCATGGACCCCCGCCGAGCCAGCCCTAGCGACATGTCCTGGCACACACAGACACTCCCTTCCACAGGCAGCTCCTGCTGCGGCCCTCACACACACTCCCTTCCACGCTCTGCCTGGACACATCCTCAGGCACAGCCAGAACAGTGCTGCTCCTGGCACTCAGGGCCTTTCCCCAATACCTTTCAATGCTCTTCCCTCACACACACTTGCCACTTGTCCCACCCCCTCCTCGTGCCCTTTTCCAGGGCCCTGCGTGTCCCCTGTCAGTGCCCAATCAGTATAACTCATTCTACGTGGCT